TGGCAAAAATGCCGGGTCATCGCTCCGGACCCTGCTTGGGCTGGGGGACAGGTCCCTGGGGGTTAAAGCTTCCTCTCATCCCCTTTCCTCTGGCTGCAGCATCCCATGGCGTGGTGGGAAAGACATTTGCAGGGAGCAAAGCAATGCCACGCAGCCTCTCTGGCCCCGTCACTGTCCCCACTCCCAGCGCGGGGGGTGCAGCGCCAGCCCAAGGCATCATCACCTCGTCATCGCCTTTGCAGAGCGGCGAGCTGGTCCCGAGCAGCTCTGCCTCCGTGCACCAGCAGCCATGGCCGAGCCAGCTCCTCCCCAGCATGCTGCCCTCAGAGGGACCCCGCTGTCCCCTGTGGCCACAGGGACAGGGCCAGCACAGGCAGAGGTGGCTGTGGTGGTTCCTCTCCAGGTCACGCTGCCCTTTCCCTGCCCTTTCCCTTCCCATCTCCAGCCCAACAGCCAGGAGCGGCTTCGGTGGCTCTGTTGACGCCAGGCTGCCTGGCTCAATTACAGGGATGCCTGGGATGGGGGAGGCTTTGCTTTCTGCTAATTAGCCAGACAAACAGGCCTGGACCATCTCCCCGCACCCCCTGAGGCAGGGCAGACCCAGGCTGGCTGCTGCCGGACGATGTGATCTAATCCAGCAGCGTCTGCAGCTGTGACTGATGGGGAGGGAGAGGCACTGGCCCCGGGGCGCCCCGCGCCCCCCGCACCCGGCTCCCTCCCCGGGGGCTCCCCCAGCCCTCCCAGCAAACGGCTCCTTCCTCCCGCTCCCACCTCTCCCATTCTCGCCCTGCCGTTATTTGCCTCCATAATTACTTTATTGATCTCTGCCGAGGGTACCGGGACCGCGCTGCAGTGAAAGCTGCCACACACATTCCCCGGGAATCCTACCGCTAAACCCCCACCGCTAATGAGCCTTTGGCAACCACGGACCGAAATCTCTGCTCCTGCCCGTGTCTCTCCCCACCGTGCTTGGCTTGTCGGAGGGTTGTGCGCGTTAAATTGGGACTTGACAGCACTCTGCGGTTGGCAGCCAGGCTTCCTGCGCCAGCTTGAAATGCCAGGGTTAGGTACAGCACGCGCCGATCCGCTGCCGCTCGCATCCCCTCCGGTTCCAAGCAGCCGCGGGTGGTGGCTCGATGCCGGTGGGGCTCTGCGCTCCCCCAGCCTTGCACCGCGGCCATCGCATCTCTCACGGCGAGCCCAACGCCAGCAGAGAAGCACAAAGCTGTCACTTTGTGCCCCGAGAGGTGCCGTGAGCTCATGGGGCGGAGGCGCCGTGCCTGGCCCTGCGGTGCTGCGCCGCTCCTGTGCCCTGTCCTCCGGGATGTCCCTGGATGTCCTCGCTCCCTTGGCTCCGCAGCCGCTTTGGTGTGGGTCCAGGCTGGCTCCGTCACCGCCCCAGCTTTGACACAGATGGATTTGGGTTGGGAAAGAGCCCGGCCGCGAGCCCAGCCTGCGCAAAGGGGACACAGGGCAGGGACAGAGGGACCCCACTTGCCGTGCCCGGCGAGAGGCACATCTGGGGCACCTCCAAACCTGCCTCAGCCTGCGGTGCCCCGGGCCATCGCTGTGCTGGGATGTGTCTCTCTGCACCTTCGGCCTGCCACAGCTACCCCAGACATCACCAAGGAGTTTTATTGCAAAAAGCCGAAGGGATTTGGGTCCTGGCTGCCCCGCGGCCCCAGGGGCTCCCCGGGGCCAGGACTGCGGTGCTGCCCCTTGCAGCATCTCAGGCACTTTAATGAGAAAGATTGCACAAGAATTTGTGCTCCTTTTGTTGTTTAAAATACATTTTAGGGATTCTGGGTAACGCATGGTTGCGACCACCGGTCTCATTCTTCCTGGTGCTGCTACAGGCAGGAGCTGCCAGCCCTCCCCGGCGCTGCCTTTGCCTGCCTGCCCCAGGGTGCAGCGGGAGGGGGCAACTGCCCTCCTGCCCGGCGTGGGGAAGGGGCTGGACTGGACCCCGTCCCCATCCCTTGCTGGGAGGACAGGCAGGACCGTGCAAGCAGGCGGAAGGAGGAGCGGCTGGTGCGGGGGCAGCCCTGTTGTCCTGGGGAAGGTGACGTGGAGGTGTCCCTGCACACATAAATGACACCGGGGAAGGGGAGCTGGGAGTTGATTGTGCTGATGCTTCGGCATGGAGCCTCACCGCTGCCATCACGACTGTCCCCACACGTCCCCAGGCAGGGATGTCCC